TGAAAATTGTTTTATTTTCGTTGTGTATGATTAAGTAAATTCCCAACAAAAAGTACTGCAAGTTTATCTTTATGGAACAGATTCTAAAGCTCAAAATCCATGTATTGGATATTTCTTTTCAGAAGTGGCAGCTTATGTGCTTGGAGTTCAATTTGGATGCTGGATGGAGCAGTGATCTTTAGTTTGTCACTACAAATGGATTAAAATAAACTAACACGGACATTATATCATTTACTTTCAAGTTTTCATAATTATTTAAACAGATTCTTCTATCCATCTTGACCCCTTATTTTTCAGGGAGGTAGTTCACTTGGTTTGGCGTGCAAGAAGCCGATGAAATTGACCCGTTGAGCTGGGCCCCTGTTTGGTGACCAAATATGGAAGCAGACTCAAGACTGTCTCAATGAATGGAATTTTTGCTCAAAAAAATGGATCAAGATAAAATATTGACAAACTGTACTCATGTTGAAGAAGCTTGAAAAATGTATGAAAAACTTTAGCATCCCAATTCTCATTAATTTTGTAATATTAATTCCAAAATGTTATTTACAAGTTTTGAGTGTTTTTCACTGCCTCGAACTATGAATACGTGAGAAAATCTTGAGAGCATGGTAGATATTCTTGGATCAGAGACATACATTCTTATTACAAAGTGAATCCTAGTACAATTTACTGGAGCATTAACTCAAATGTTGAAACTCTCACCTTATTGAGAGTTCTTGAAACATCTCAATATTCAGACATCTCACCAGAAAATTTACCAGGAAATATTCGAGTACCAGCTCCTGTTTTTGTACCTTGATAGCAGTAAATTTGCACTGCTAGAAATTGATCTCTCTACCAAGAAGAATATTTGTTCCTTTTTCTACATCCAATTGATTTTCTGAATTTCTATTAGGCTGTGATGAAAAGCATCTGCTATTATTGAAGCTGACAATTGACAAATTATCCACTGAAACTGATCTTCTCGTAGGTTGAATCTCAACATCTGAATCTCAACAATATTCGTGACTCTTTGATTCGTTTTGAGCCTGTGATTCGTCTTCATCCTCAATCTCAACTGTCAACTCGAAATCTTCTTCTGTTTCTCTTCTGAGTTCCCCGTCGTTCTCTGAAATATCGACTCGGGTTTCCTCCACTAGGCCTGAATTATGCACAATTTGCTCCTGCGGTGGAATGCCTGATGTGCTGATCACAATACTGGCCCTACACATGGGGCAATTAGTGTGTGAACTGAACCAAGTATCAATACAAGATATATGAAAAGCATGGTTGCATTTAGGCAACAATCTAAGAGTTTCATCTTCTTGAAACTCATTCAAGCAAACCGAACAGTCTGTTCCTTCAATAAGTCCATCACCCTTTTTATACTTGACTGTTGAGATTGCACTTATAACCGATGGTTGAAGACCAACAGTCCTGATGTACCATATTGGATTGATAGCCGCTAGATGATCTTCATCAAAAAGTTGATCTTGGCCCTCCTCCTCCACCTCTTCAGGTGGCTGCCGCCGTGCCGCCCTCGAATTCTGCCAATTAGAATAGAACTTATAGATGGTGTAACAAGCCCAGAGAAAGAAAACTGTAGCTAATATAGCAAGAGAGATGGTGAGCAGAAGAGAGAGTTTGTGAGGTTTATCCGGTGGTGGCTCGAATTCGGCGGGGAAGAAACTTAGCTGTGCCGGCGGCAGCGAGGGGATTCGAAGTAATATTGGCCGGTTACAGGTCGGAAAACAGAGACCGATGCATGTAATTGGACAAGCACCATCCTGGTTTTTTATTCCATTACAATAAGGTGTGCAAATTCGCTCTATACTAGGATCAATTAGTGATTCATTCAGAAATTTCCTGGGATAAAAGGCCATGAATCATCAATTCGGTAATGAAAAAGGAGAGGGCCTTGATCTTTTTTTGGCAGACGAAGAGAAAGATGAAACTCTATATTTGTTTATTACAGAAAAGAACAAGCTAATTTCTTGACGACAATGGAGAGGAAAAAAGAGCGGGGTTTTTCTTCCTTTGCAATTTTTTCCTGGATTTTTTAGGTTCGTTTGACATGACTTTTGAAAAGTTAATTTTTATTTTAGATTTAAAAGCTATTTTTAGACCAACTTCACTAAGAATCAGTTTAGAATGGCATTTTTCTTCGAGTTATGCTATATGTACAAAGTTGAGTTACAAANATCAGACAACCCAAAAGTGAGTCAGCTTTACACTTTTTTTCCGAGTCAACTTGAATTTCGTGTTTCTGATCTTCTACACCAATCATTTTAAAAACAGATTTTTAAATCATTTGAAATCAACGGTCTGAATTTTGCCAACACAGTTTGTAACCCAACTTTTATAACTCAACTTTGTATGAATAGCTTTATTATTATTATTTTCATATATAAAAGCTTTTGGAGGAAGTTATTTTAATTTGTATTTATAAACTAATTTTAAAAAGCACTTCCTATTTCAAAAGTGCTTTTAGAATAAATCACATTGCCATCTTCCTTTAAAAATTGGGCAACTTACAAAAATATCTATAAAATTAAAGGTTTTTTGAAAAATCATATGAAAAGTATTTGAAAGGAAACAATACTTTGTAAAATTAAATGTCACTATTTAATATAATCATTTTTTTAAATTTAAGTGTCATTTTTTATTAAAAAAATAAAGTGACATACAATCACTTTTATTAAAAAACGATATTTGTCACTCAAGAAAGTAACAAAAATTTCAAGAAAGTCAACAGAAAAAAGTAAAAAATATTGTATAAAATTAAGTGTCGCTTTTTTTTAAAAAAAAGTGACACAATGTCACTTTTTTAATTTAAGTATCATTTTTTTATTAAACTTTCTATAAAAAAAGAAAAAATGACACAATATCACTTTTTAAAATTAAGTACCACTTTTTTATTACACTTTCACTAAAAGGTAATGTTTCTCACTTATAAAAAAATAAAAAGGCCAGAAAAAATGACAAACACTAAAGCAGTGACATTTTTTTTTATATAAAAAAGTTACACAACTAAAAAAAGTAATAAAATAAAATAAAAAGTGACAAAATACTAATTAAAACATTAAAATCAGCTCCACAAGTAACATAAATTTTAAAAAAAAGTGACACGACTACTATCCATTTTCTTTCTTCATTCACCCCAAAGCATTGAAGTGAGTTCAATGACGAAACACTAATCAAAACGCGAAACATCTTTAAGTGAATTCACCACCACCACCACCATCTACCAACTCAGCCAACTTATTAACATCCACTTAAATCAATCTTATACGAATTCGATGTTTAAGAAAAAAAAAACAAAATATCTAGTGAAAAGGAAAAGGATCCCCACCTCCTCCATCCACATTATCAAAAGGTCAAGCATTGTGCGTATTGAAAACTGTGAGTTTATAGAGTTTTCTTTCTTTCAATTCTATCCCAAAAAGAAAATAACTCTGAATTCAAGAAGAGTGATCTGCTATTGAAAAGCTTCAAATCTGAAAAATGAATACAGAACAAGAAAATAAATTATAATAATTAATGGCCTCATGTTCATGTTCATGTTCATGTACATTTTCATGTTCAAACTCATCATCAAAATATAGCCCACAAAACAAGAACTAAAGCAGAATTAAGAAAATCGAACATGTGAGAAACAAAACCCTAGAATTGAAATTAGTAATAACAAAAAACAACCGAGTAAGCAGAAGTCCCAAATTGGAAATAATAATCTTGCCCCATCTGCTAAATACTAACACATCTTGCATGATTGATGTCCCCAGCTCCCGAAGACTTGGAGGAACCTTCCAACATCGAAACCATCATCGTCACTGTGGCAAAAAAGAGATGAGGAAATGTGTAAGAAAGTAGACGAGGAACTAGGAGGAGGAATTGATGAAATTCAGGTCGAAGAAAGAAAATTGGAAGGTGATGTTATGAAAAATGGAGATGACGGTATGGTTGTTGAGATTCCGATGTCAACTGGGGTAGGATTTATGGATTTGGATTATGATATGGAGGAAAGAGATGAACGTATTAAATACGATGTGAGAATGTTTTAATATTTTTAAGGTATAAATCTAATTTGCTATTTTTTAAAAGTAATGGACCTAATTTCCTCTTAAAAATTATTCTAACTATTAAAAGTAATTTCATAAAAGGGATAATTAGGTCCAATACACTCAAAAAGTAACTAATTAGAATAATACCCCTAAAACTAATTAAAACTATCACCTCCGTAAGTAATACGCTCAAAACCTCCCCAAACCTGAAAGCCTTGTCAAGCATCTCTCCATCTTCATCACCGAAATCATCTTCCCAGAAAGCTGCACCTTTGAAGGAAAGTAAGACCTCCCGATTGTGCACTCCCAAGATCCTCGCTAATGCCCACACCTAAATCATTGTCCCCAACACCGACACCGAAATCCTTCACCCTGAAATCCTCTATCCCAAAATCCTTGAGCCCTAAATCTCTAACAGGGCCCCTTAACGATGAGCACTAATCTCCTTCCAAGCCCAGCAACGAAGCCATTTATCCTACACCCACCACCAGCAATTACAGTCCTCTTGCTGCTTTAAGACCCCTCCACCGACATTATTGTAGAAGGGACGCCATTATTGCGATAATGGAAAAATTGCTACGTGGGATCTTGGTATAATGGTTCATCTAGCACTCCCTAAAATATTGATTATTTTGATTAATACATTTTAGAGCTGGTGAATGAAGGATTCGAGATGGCTGAGAAGGCAATCGTGGCTGCAGAAAAAGGAATAGAAGCTGCAGAGAAGGGAGTAGAAGTGGGCATAGAGGCGGCGGAGAAGGAGATCACAACAGTGGTCAACTTTGGAGGGCTGGCACAGGCGGGAGTGGAGGCAGTTGGAGTTTTGATTGACACAGGTATAGTGAATGGGATTATATGTCCAGAAGACAAGAAATCATGAAGTAATTAAATTAATATTTTGATTGTATTATATGTTTGTATGGTGAAATGATTGATGATTTTGTTGAAGCAAAAACCAATAACTAAGACCTAACAATTCTACATCTCTTCTTTTTCTTACTGATGTACAAAAACAAATCAAGAAAACTATTTACTATTAATCGAATTTTACTTTATGCTTCTTGTTGTTCAAATGTTGTTATGGCGGGGGCGTTTGAAGGTGGTAAGGTTTACAATTGGGATAGAGATGGTGGAAACAGTGGCCCTCGGTTTGGGGATGCTGCTCTTGGATTCAGTTGATGCATTTAAGGTGTCTGCGAAAATGAGAATGTGAAAAGTAATATTTTGTCACTTTTTCCTGAAAAAGTCGCAGTATGTTTTTAGAGCAATTAACTAAATATATAAGTGTGTGTTTTTGAAAATTTAAATATACGAATTCAAACATTGTTTTAGCCTTGCATTCAACTTATAATTCTTTGATTCAATTCAATTGAAACATCCAATGTGTTTGCTGTAATGGGAATATGAAAAAGTGACATTCTATCACTTTTCTATCCCAAACAAAGTGACAGTAAGTGAA